GATGTTGTATGTCTCAAGGGTTGGGGAAGAGAGTTCCAAACTGACGGAGCAAGGTGGGCGAACGATCTTTCAGCTATTTTTTTTTACTGATTTGAGCCATGGTAAAGAAATAATAGTATGCCTGCATTTAGCTATATCAGAATAACTATAAATATATACTTGAATACTCATATCTCAATTGTACGCTCTCGTCTCACCTTTACACCCACATCTCATGTGTACACCCACATTTCATTCGTACAACTCACCTGTACGCCCACCTAATCAACTCACACCTGTAAAGTCACACCTCACCTATACACTCACACCCCACCTGCAAAACTCCCCTGCACAGCTCATCTGTACACCCACATCTCACCTGTACACACACACACACACACACACACACACACACACACACACACACACACACACATCTCACCTGAACACCCACACACATATCACCTGTAAACACACACACACACACATCTCACCTGTACACACACACACATCTCACCTGTACGCACACACACATCTCACCTGTACACCCACACACATCTCACCTGAACACAAGCACACACACACTTCACTTGTACAAAACTCACATGTACACTCAAACTTCACCTGTACACTCACACCTCACCTGTACAAAACTCACCTGTACACTTACACCTCACATGTACGTCCACATCTCACCTGTACGTCCACACCTCACCTGTACACTCACACCTCAAATGTACACTCAAACCTCACCTGTACAACTCACCTGTACGTCCACGACTCACCTGTACAAAACTCACATCTCACCAGAACTTGTACACCTCACCTGTACAATTCACTTGTATATACACACTTTACCTGTACACAACTCACCTGTACACCCACACCTCACCAGCACATGTACACCTCACCTGCTCAAAAATCACCTGAATACTCACCTGTACACCCACACATATCTCACCTGTACGCCCACATCTCACCAGTGCGCGCACACACACCTCACTTGTACAAAACTCACCTGTACACCTACACACCTCACCTGTACACACACACACCTCACCTGTACACACACACATCTCACCTGTACACACACACACCTCACCAGTACAAAACTCACCTGTACACACACACACACACACACACACACACACACACACACACATCTCACCTGTACAAAGCTCGCCTGTACACACACATCTCCCCTGTACACACACACACCTCACCTGTACACACACACCTCACCTGTACACACACACACCTCACCTGTACACACACACCTCACCTGTACACACACCCACATCTCACCTGTATGTTTTCGGGTATCAGAAAGAGGGGGTTCTTCAGGTAGGTGTCCTTGGTGAACTGGTTCAGGTACATGTACTCGATCTGGTTCCACTCGTACTTCACCTCAGCCTCCAGGTTAGGCCGCTCACCAGCCAGGGCTCGGTCAGACCATGACGTCACCACCAGGGTCAAGGTCAGGAACAAATCGACAGCTCTCATGCTTCTGATTCTTCTACAAATGCTAGGTCTGGAAAAGGTGATACGGTATACAATGATAATGATATTTTTAATGATCAAGATGATGATGATGATGATAATAATAATGATAATGATAATAATA